ATCTATATGTTTTCTGGTGTATAGGTTAATATGTAATATGTTCTTTAGCACACCACAGAGAGATCAGTGTATTTTCATATATATCAACCTTTATCTTTTTATGAGGTATGGGGCCCTTGACCTCGAAAGTCAATAAAGTCTAATTCAATTCAATTTTCTCTTACCACACATACTCATATTCTTTCACACATGTACGCAGGCACGCAGGCACACACACACACACACACACACACACACACACGCAGGCACACACACACACACACACACACACACACACACACACACACACACACACGTGCGCGCACAGCATATGTCCTGACCACTTCTGTACATTTTATTATCATCACGGCCACCATCACATCATCATCATCAAATCATCTTCATGTACATCACAAAACCACCTCCACAAACATCCAGTGGCGGTGGGTGGACCAAGATTTGGGTGGGGCTTAGGTTGGTTCCACTTCTTTACAACTAAACATCAAGCACTCAAGAGTGATGATTTTTCTATACCCACGGTGAGCCACGGCATTTTAAGAACCATTCAAACGGAGAATCAACTTTGTGTTCCATCTCTTTATTCTAAGTTAGCTCTAGATTCTCCTGGATGGCGGGAACGAAACCGTTTCACCTCCACATTTTTTCTAACTTATTTTCATCTGATGAAAAAATTGCCTCAAAAGTGGTTCGACGTGGTTTATAACACTTAAATCTCAGGAGCACACACTGCACCTAAAGCATATTATCATTCCGTCTATGATGATGAGCTGGTTGCAGCTGTGTAGTCGAGGAAAATTGAAAGCACTTAACGAAGGTCCAATGAGTGCATAGGTGACTGTGTCACTGGGGAAAGTGTCATAAACTTTCACCCCGTTGTCAAGGCTATTGTCAAGGCTAGGAGAGCGTGAGCCTTTTGAAAAGAAAGAGCGAGTTAATAAGACATATAGATTAAGATCAATAGATCTACTTCTACGTTGTATTCTTTGTATTCTCTCTCTTTCTCTTTCTCTCTCTCTCTCTCTCTCTCTCTCTCTCTCTCTCTCTCTCTCTCTCTCTTTCTCTCTCTCTCCTTCTCTCTCTCTCTCTCTCTCTCTCTCTCTCACTCCCCCCCCCCTCTCTCTCTCCTGCTATTGTAGCGTTCCCTGGTTAATACTGATTGACACTATCTTTTCATTTCTAATAATGCATACTCCTAAAGATCCTGTCATCAATACTATCTCATCAATACGATCAATAATATGTGATTGTCAATGTCAAGGCCTAGATCTAGATTTAGTAGATCGTGAGCCTATGCACCCGGTGCCCGGTACAAGTACACTAGATTTATCCTCTGATCTTATCACTCGTTACCGAAGAGAGACTATTTTTAAATCTAATGTTTTTCTTTTTAAATAATTTATATCTAGATAAATTATTGAAATACGTTGACCAATACTTAAGTTTGGTAGGTAGATCTATATATTTAGATCGATCTAAGATCTAGATGCTAGATTAGAATGGGCCCTAGAGTCAAGGGCGAAGGCTGACTTGTTTGACAGGGTAATCAAAGTGAAATGGGACCAGATAGGGCCTGGAGATATCACACTCACACAAGTCACAAGAATCTTACTGGCACTGGAGGCGGCAACTCTGAGTTGTGAATGAAAACAAATCCTGAATTCATGTTGTATGCTTGTTCAACCGCTAAAATAATCGGGAAAGTATTTCATTAAATATTTATTCTAACTAACCTTAAATTTAACTTTAGATTTGAACACACGAACACCAAAGAAAGAAGCACAGATGCCAGCACTACAATGGCATGTTATACCAGACAGCCGAAACACTTTGGTAGAGCACGCCAACTATTAATTTTTTATTTCACATTTGGCTGTTTTTTGTCTAGCTTTTCGCGGCCAGGAGCCGCTGTCATAATCGAGGTCACGATCTGATTATAGGACGTTAAAAAGTCGAGGAAAAAAACAAGCACTAGCAGTGTAGTAGCAGGAGTCAAAGGATTATTGGGAGTTAGTTCCCCTCACATCTGTGAGGTAGACTCGACCAGTGTAATAGTTCGCTTAGATAATCAGCGCGTCTGGGTGCTTATAACTGTGGCCCGAAAGGGGTGAACAGGTGAACAAGGTATATGCGACAATGAAACAGTTCTGACTACTATGCACATGTTCCCTTCAAATCCATTGGTTGACTCTTCCAGCCTCACTTTAACTTAAGCTTACTTAATCAAAGCTTGTGACTGCTTATGGAGTGGCCCGATAGGGGCGAACAGGCTATTTCTGTGGCAATGAAACGGTTTTGAAGGTAAGGCATAGTCTATTGTTCATTGGTGATTATGAACGTCTTTTTACATTTAATTTATGAGGTTTACGTCTATGGGTGAATTTGACTGCGACAATGTTTCAAAATTAGGAAGGGAAGCAGTGATTATTTGATTATATAGACGCTTCGCCTCTGCCTAGAGTAGGATTAACTAGGACGCTCTCATATTCTGCTCTATCCAACAAGCACAGTGCCAAGCCATCGGGGCTCAGTCACACGCTCACTGGGGGCGTGGCCTATTTTACGCGTGCTACGTTTTTTTAACAAAGGGAAAGAGGCAGCTGCAGCATCTTACCGAAGGGTGTAGTATCTTTGGTTGAACTACGTGTTTGTGTGCGTGGGAGGGGGGGAGGTGCGGAGCGCCCCTGTGTGCGTGTATGTGTGTGTGTGTGTGTGTGTGTGTGTGTGTGTGTGTGTGTGTGTGTGTGTGTGTGTGTGTGTGTATGTGTGTGTGTGTGTGTGCACACACATGTATGTATGTGTGTCTGTGTGTGCGTGTGTGTGTATGTGTGTGTAAGAATGTATATGTGTGTGTATGTGCGTATGTATAATGTGTGTGTAGGTGTGTGTATGTATGTATATGTGTGTATGTGTGTATGTGTGTGTGTGTGTGTGTGTGTGTACGTATGTGTGTGTGTGTGTGTGTGTGTTGTGAGCATGTGTGTGTGTGTGTGTGTGTGTGTGTGTGTGTGTGTGTGTGTGTGTGTGTGTGTGTGTGTGTGTAGTCCTACAGCCCTCAACAAAAAGTGAATGTCCAAAGCTTGCCAAAGTGACATGACAAGGGGCGTGTGACGTCACAGCTAATGGGGCCCTGCTGACAGAATGAAACGCAGAAGGTAAGACAGCTATTAATTAGCTGAGTGATAGGTGGGGCTTGTGTGCGCGCGTGTGTGTGTATGTGTGTGTGGGTGTGTGTGTGTGCGTGTGTGTGTTAATGTATGTGTGTGTGTGTGTGTGTGTGCATGTGTGTGTGTGTGTGTGCGTGTGCGTGTGTGTGTGCGTGTGTGTGTGTGTGCATGTATGTGTGTGTGTGTGTGTGTGTGTGTGTGTGTGTGTGTG